ACAGCTAAAACACTTGCTTATTTTCAGAATACTAGGGGTATATTTTTATTTATAATTGGATAGACTATGTTAATTAATTGTATAGAACAGCATGATTATATAACTTAGAGCCTTTGTATTTTTATAATTTATGTCCTTTGCATATATTAAGTAGTTAAAAGATATTTCATTGGCTTTCCATAATTCTTTACTTTGTAAAAGTATTTGAAAATTCAATGAATTGACTAAGCAATAATATACCAAGTGCATTATAACCGGAAAATATAAATATATGCATTCACCACCACATATTTTTGCCACACACATTTTTCATCTTCACAGACCTTGGCCCTGAGTTTGAAATATGCTTATTCTAAGTTTGAATAGTCTTCCAGGTTTATCAAAGGATTCATTCTTACTCATAATCATATAATTGTATTTGAGGGTAAATTGTTCTTATGATCATAGTTGGTTGATTGGTTGTTGGTTGTTTTGACACAGTTTTTAAAAGCGTATCAATGATCATGGTTTAAAATCTATAAGATTTCACTTCTCATTTACAGGGAAACTATCATACGTTATTTACCTCCAAATTCAGATTTGCAGGAATGGAATGGGGTTCTGAGGGAAAAGGAAAGTGATTATCTGAAACAATATAATTGACTTTTAGAGAATGAATCTCATTAAAGTATATACCCCTATGAATTCTTGTTACAAACAACAACAACAAAAAACATTAAGTTAAGCAGAAAAACAATTTAATGGAAGAATATTAGGTAGCTCACAGAATTGTTGGAAATGCTGGAGAATGAACTTTGGAAAACAGAAGCCAAGGGAAGCTAAATGACCAAAATCATAGCCAAGTTGTGACCTCAAGAAGAATTGGAAGTTTGTGTATGTGTCTACTGGCAGTGGTGCCTCTGAAAACTGGATTCCAAACACTCCAAAGTCTGATGGGAATGTCCAACTGACCAAGATTAGTCTTATGCCAGCACTCAGGCTGTCAGGCATCGAAGATGGCAAGTATGTCTGACCTTCTCTGCTTCCACAGTAGAAGATGGGAGCATTTCTCTCACCAGATCCACCAAACATATAAAATGGGTTTGATGACTGAATACAGAAATACAGAAACATCAGAGATCTACTGTAGTCGCATCTCTTTCCAACATCCACCTATACCACTTGTCCCATATTTACACATTTGCATAATACTAACATAATACTATTATCCCTCACCCACTTTCAAGTCCAGAATCTCCATGTGATGTCCATTCCTCCTCTAATTCTGTAATGATCTTGTCTCAGTTGTATGTAACCCATAGACAAAATTGCCACCTTACCACAACCATGCCTATATACAATAATAGTATAAGATAGGAAAGAAAAGGGAAATTATTAAATATATAAGCATATGTATGTACCAATGAGGAAGAAAATATAACTAGAGCAGGGCTTTGCCAACTTCCTTGCTGAGAATTACCCGAATTACTTGTTAAAAATACAAATTCCAGAGCCCTATTACAGATGAACTGAAACAATATCCAGGATAGGGTATGGGGAGCAGCGCGCTTTCTCCCAAAGGTCTCTGATTTAAATTTTTAAAAAATTATGCTAAATACAGTCCTCAATTCTGCCACTGGCCATGAGGCTAGATGGTTATGACTTCTCACCACTGCCACTTATTCCCTGTTTCCTCTGTGTTCAACCAGTATCTCAGTGGATGAGATTTCTTTACCTAGTGCGTGATCCCAAGGATCTGAGGCTTGAGTGGTCTTGCCTATATATGGTTGCAGATGTTTGCTCAATTTTTATAATTCAACATGCTTTTGTGAGGAGGTATTCCAAGAGATAAGATTTCCCAAGCTCTAATCAGACTCCTCTCCCTACTCCCTTTTCTTCCTTGGTCATTAGAGCCATCACCCCAACTAGTGCCATAACCATTTTTTCTAACTCCTTACCTAGAGGAATGAGCTAAAATGACCAGGTTACAATCCCAACCTCCAATGCAGAGAAAACATTGTATCCCCTTATACCCCACTCTGGGTACAAAAATTGGTACACCAACAGAATCTGGAATGGAGATGGATGGCAAGAGCAGTGAAGGGTCTAAGATTTTATCCTACTTGTAAGCTTGCTTGCTACAGTTAAATGGATGCTGACAGGAAACTCCCAGGTACAAAAGACTATTACAGCAAAATAGCCAGAGCATCAGACTATTTGCACTCGTTCCTGGGGCCCCAATTTCCACAGTGATGCATAGTGCCAGATGACACCTGGACACACAATGGGTTGCATCACAGGAGAAAAGTCCAGGGCCAATGGCCAAGCATTTTTTGAGCAAGCAGCAAACAAGCCAGTCTCTTTTCCCCAAGGGGAACAGCAGTTAAATGGTAGTAATGCTGTATTTAAATGCCTATATGACTAGCTACAGAAATTGCTGAATTTCAGGAGATGGATAAGCCTTCCCATTGGTATACTCAGCAATAATATGCAGGGATGCCTGGGACCCATGGCAGATTGTCTCTCCCCAAAATGGAAAGCAAAATATATGGACAGTGTATCATGTTACACAATATTAGTCCTTCTACTACTCTTTAGATCCTGTTATTCTGTCTATAGAAGAGATATCACTGAAAATACTCTTAAGTCATTGGGAGCATATGCCAAGTCCTTTAGGAGAGCATCCCAAAGTGTATTTTCTCACCTTGTTCCAAAAGTAAATGTTCAGTAGGGCTGTCCATTATTCTATAAGACCAGTTGCTTCTGGACTGATGGGATATATGGTAAGGCTTGTTAATCCCACAAGCATCAGTACTCTACATTTTTCACAGGAAAGTGAGTTCTTTGGTAAGAAGCAATGTTGTATGGGATGCTATATAAAGTGTATGTAGTATAAGGTATTCAGTAAGTCCACAGAAAGAAGGTATAAAAGAAGCATAAGTCAGGGAAACCAATCCAACAAGTTGCTACTTCCTTCATTCTAGTAGGATTCCATTGTAATCAAACCTGCCACCCAGGCTATGTAGTCCTATATCAGGGGGACAGGTTGTTCACTGCAAGGAGTGGTGCTAGCCAATCACTCTTGGCAGGGAAAAAGACTATGTTAAAAATCTGTGCATCTCTATGCCACCATGGCTACCTGATAGTGGGTCCAGCTGTGGTGGGGGAATGAGGCTGACTGATGTCTACGGAGTGGGTCACTATGGTAGGCAGCCTCTAAAATGATCTTCAGTGATCCCCATGTGCTGGTATTCACCCTTTGTGTAATCCCCTCCCTTTTGAGAGGGTGCTGGATATGCTGACTCACTTCTAATAGAATACATCAAAAGAAAGAATACATCACTTCTAATGATAGAATACATCAAAACTTGAGATTACAAAAATACTGTGGCTTCCCCTTTAGCAGTCTCATTCTCTCATTCATTCTGTGGAAAACCAGCTGTCATATTTGAGATGACCTTTGAAGAAGCCCACACAGCAAGAACTGAAAGAGGCCTCCAGTCCAAAAGCCCACACAAAGCATTAAAACCTGCCAATAATGGGACTAGTAAGCTTGGAAGCAGATCCTCCCCTAGTTGTGCCTCCATATGGGACTGGAACCTCAGCTAAGAGCTTGACAGCAACCTCCCTTAAGACCTAGAGCCACAGGCACACTGGCTCCCGCATTTCTGACCCACAAAAACTGAGAATAAGTGTTTATTGTTTTAAGGCAAAATTTTGATTTAATATGTTATGGAGCAATAGATAATAACAGTAATCTTATTCTGATTAAGAGCCCTTCTGAAATGGGAGCTGGTTTTTTTTTTGGGGGGGGAAGCAATGAGATCCAAATATTCTTATGTTTTCGGGCAATTTTGAGAAGTCCTATTCCAAAGAACTATTCCAAAACCTTTACAGTCCCAGTCCCTGACCAAGACTTGACTAAACCAGTGCCCATGAAATTATGTAGATCTTTATCTCACACCACATCTCCTTCCCTGCAAAGTGTACAGGATAAAGTTCTAGCCTCTGAGAGGATCTCTCTCTGCTGTTCCTTGAGGGCCTCTGTTAAATGGGGCTTTAAATGCCAAGGCAGTCCATTGATAGCTGAGTTAGTATATTGAGCAAAGCCATCCATAATCGGCTTTGAATTTTTTTCCTCAGTCAACTGGTCACAAGGAACTCATCATTAAACTGTAGATATGAACTAAGGGTCAAAAGTATTTGTGGGAGCTAACTGCTAATGAAAACTGCTTGGGTTTTGGTTCTGGCCCTGTTTTGTATATAATACTTTTAGTAAAAGGACTCCTTATCTAGGAGGATCAGATATCTCCCAGTTCATGATGAGAAACTCAGATTGCATAGCCACCTAATGTCACCTTGTCACATTACCAGCGCCCAACAGCCAAGAACTTTTCTGAAAAATAAAAAAATAAAAATCTAGGGACCTGCACTGTGATTGTAAGGATTTCCACAAGTTACATAAAGCCTCCTGATCTGCCACATATGCTCCAAACGTCATTGGAACTGTTGGAGTTTATGGGCCAACTGGCAGAGCTCCTTCCCCTGCAACCTGGACCAGATGGCAAGCCTGTCTTGCTCTGCTCTTCACTCAAAACTGTCATCTTTCAGATCATCTCGTCAGTGAGTCAGAACTGACGGATTAGGAGTTCACTGAACAACGAGGTATTTAAAAAATAAAAGAGAAGTGAAAAAGGAAAGACTATTATTACACGGGCTTGAGTAAAAGGTGCTTCACCTTTGTGTGCTATAAAAGAGATCTTTCAAGAGACCTCTGCCTCAGATTAAGAGGCATACACGGAATTATTCCCTCATCCAACCTCAGCCGTGATTTGGGATTTTAATCAACACGTGGGTCAGGGTAGCTTGAGTCTTTCTTCGCGAGAAAGCTGACGCCCTCCACGCGCCTTCCCCAACAGACAGCCTGGGAAGGGAGAACGGATTCCGAGGGAGAGCTCCGGAAGCCCCGCCCCGCCCGGCCACGCGCAGGCCCCGCCCCTCCACACGCAGGCCCCACCTCACGAGAGCTCCGCCCTCCCTGTGGGGTGGGCCCCGGTCGGTGAGGCTGAGTATCCCCTTCTCCCTCCTGGGCCCGCGAGGACGCTGAGGGATTTGGCACCATGTCTGTGTCAAGGCTGGCTCGGTTGCTTGGCTGCGTCCCGGCCACCGCGTGGAGAGCGGCAAGTAAGGCGCCCGGCCCCGGGGCCGAGGTCGTGGGCGGGGTCGCGAAGGCCCGGCGCCGCGAGAAAGTCCTCCCTCGGGGGAAGCCGCGTGTGTCCCGGGCGTCTGCAGGCGCTGGGTGCTGCAGAGCTTCTCTTTTTCGGCTCGGCCACCCACGTCTTGGTCCTGGGCAGGTCCCTTCACCATCCCGGATCTCGGGGGTGGGACTAGGGCTAGAAGATCACCCAAGCCCTTTCAGCCCGGGCACCTGCTTCCTTCCGGTCACTGGTTAGGAAGGGCAGCGAACATTCGGGGTTGTTTACTTGGGAGCTCTCAGGGCGCACTACTCTTTGGTGCTCGTGGAGAAAAATTCTGTGAATGCCTCTTATATCAAAAAGGATTTGTGGCAGTGTACAGTATTAAAAAATTGGAGAAGTGCAGAGGTGCGTCAAAGTAGCAAATTAGTATAATAAAAATTAGATGAAGTCAAGAATTGTTAATACAAAGAAAGTATGCATGCTTTCAGTAAAAACCAGCGTTTTTTAACCCGTTTTTGTTGGCAGATTTTCTCAGTATTTTAGACTTACCCATAGAGTATGCTAAGCATAGTTTTAATTGAGGACATCCTGGAGAAATTGTGTAAGTTGAGAACAGAATTACTGCCCTTCATAGTAATGGGCCCCAGATTTCTATGCAGTTTGTTTTCTGTAATCATTTCTCCCCAAACATATTACTTGTTAACTGTAAACATTTTAAATGGTCCAGGAGTGAATAAGTGAAAGTCTCACTTTATCCCAACTCCAAAGTAATAACTAAATTTTGTTGTGTGTTCATTCACCATCCCTTTCTCACTTGTGTTAACAACTTAAGAATGAAGTATTTGATACCAAAAATGTATAATACACGTGTAAGTTATGAAGCAAATCTTCCATTTATGAACTCATTTTCCAATTTAAGAAATAGAATACTTCTGTTACCAAGCAGTTACCAGGTGCTTCTTCCTGATGCGGTTGTAACTTTACATGGTTTGGGTCTTCATAGAAATAGCTTCTTACCATTTGTATTTATTTTACTGGCCTTTTTCAACTGGCACTGAATTTTGAGATTCATCTATATTGATGTGTGAGGTTGTAGTTAATCATGCAGTTGTGTCGTACAGTTTTTCCATTCTTCTTCCCAGTGGACATTTGGGTAATTCTGGAAACACCAGGATTGGCTGCTACACATTCTTGTTATGGGTGCTGTAATGCAAGGAGCGGAATTCCTGGAACATATGGTATAGGCCTTTTCAATTTTATAATACGATGCCAAGCTGTTTTATAAAGGCATTTCTGTTCCTCCCGGCAATTACATTCCTACCAGCAGAAACATCAGTTCTTGTTGCTTCACATACTTGTCAACATTGCTAATCATCAGAAAATTTAATTTTTGGGGTGCCTGGGTGGCTCAGTTGGTTGAGCGACTGCCTTCGGCTCAGGTCGTGATCCTGGAGTTCCGGGATCGAGTCCCGCATCGGGCTCCCTGCTCGGCAGGGAGTCTGCTTCTCCCTCTGACCCTCCTCCCTCTCATGCTCTCTGTCTCAAATAAATAAATAAAATCTTTAAAAAAAAAAAAAAAGAAAATTTAATTTTTGTCTGAATAAGGTGTTGAAATGGTATGTCATTATGATTTTGCTTCTGGATTTTATATCCACTATCCTAGCTAAATTACTTTCCTCTGTTAACTTCTCTAATTAGAGAAGTTAAACCTCTTTTCAAATATTTATTAGCTTTTTTGGGTGAAATCTCTTCATTTTATTAATGGATTATTTGTCTTTCTTATTTATATTCTTTACATATATTTCAATACTAAACCTTTTTTAGTTATGTAAGTGGCAAATAGCCCAGTTTGGGGGCTGTTTTTGTCACTCCATGGTGGTTTTTTTTTTTTTTTAATCCTATATAACAGCAGCAGAATAAAATAACAGATCTGCATATACAATCACACAACTTCGAAAGAAAGGTGTCCTTTTTTTTAAATGTGTCTTTTGATGAACACATAATCATAATTGTCGTCATGTCTTGATCCTTTTGTTTATTGTCAGCGCTTTGTGACCTTGTCTAAGGAAGCCTTTCCTACCCTATTCTCCTATACTTTCTTCTCAAAGGTCTATAGTTTTGCTTTTTATATTTAAGCCTTTATTCTACCAGGATTGATTTTTGTGTATGATGTGAGGCAGGAAACCAATTTCATTTATTTTCCACATTGGTAATCTCTTGTCCCAGGTCCATATATTGGGCCTTTCCTTCACTGATGCAATGCCAGCTTGTCTTCAGTCAAGTTCACATAAGCATATAGGCATGGGTTTATTTCTTGGCTCCCTTTTCAGTTCCATTGATCTATTTGTCTATTCCTGTGCTGATATCACCTGTCTTAATAACCATACCTTTGTAATAAATCTTTTTTTTTTTTTTTTTTAAGATTTTATTTGTCAGAGAGAGAGCAAGCATAAGCAGGGAGAGCTGCACGCAGAGGGAGAAGCAGGCTCCCCCCTGAGCTCCCCGATGAGCAAGGAGCCTGATATGGACTCGATCCCAGGGTCCTGGGACCATGACCTGAGCCGACGGCAGACGCTTAACGACTGAGCCACCCAGGCGCCCCTGGATTTTGTTTGTTTTGTTTTGTTTTTTTGGAGTCTGACAGTCTATACCCATTTAACTGGAGAGTTCAGTCCATTTACAATCATAATTATTGATATAATTGGCTTTATTTCTACCATCTTTTTACACCTTCTGTTTTTCATACGTGGTTTGAATTAAATATTTTCTTCTTCCATTTTTTTTTTCCTCTGATGGTTTGGAAGAATATAAATTATCTTTTATGGTTACCCTTGAAATCTAAGTGCATACTTAAGGAAATCTAAAGTTAACACCTTCTCCTAAACAGTGCAAAGTGTAAAAATGCTTTGAATTCACTCATCCTCTACCTCTGTTGTTCAGCCTTTTAGGTGTGTATATGTGTGTATTCTTGTGTATATGTTGGGATGGGATTGTGGTTTTGATAATCCCACATCACAGTTATTATTATGGTTTTATACAGTCAATGAATAAAACTTTCATTTTCTCTCTGTTCTCTCACACTTTACTTTTGGGATCATTTTCTTAAAGTAAATTGCTTAGAAGTTTCTTTCATGACTGTCTTTTGTGATAAAGTTTCTTAGTGTTCTTTTTGATGTAGGTCTTATTTTTAATCTGAAAATCTGGTTTCTTTCACTTTTTGTTTTTGAAAGGTGGGTTTAGTGGGTGTATCATTTTCTTATAGCTCTATCTTCTGGCTTCTATTATGGCTATGGTGAAGTTATGTTACTTAGTTATTACTAAAGTTGTTATTACTAATGTTCCTTCATTAGTAATCTGTCTTTTATCTGGCTTCTTGGATCTTCCTTTGATCTGGCTTTCTTGTTGGGGGTTGTTCATTTTACCTTGTGTTCAGATGTACTTTTTTTGCCCTTAATTTGGCATTTCTTTGTTCTTCCTATATCTGCAGATTCCTGTCTGTTGTACTTCTCATGGTCTTTCCACTATCTCCTTGTGGAATTATGATTAAACAAACATTTGTTAGACCTTCTCATTTTATCCTCCATATGTTTGAACTTCTCTTTGGTCATTTTCATCTTTGTCTCTGCTTTTTCCTGCATAATTTCTTCAGAACTTAATTCTTGATCACATTCTCTTCTCATCTGTATCTGTTCTGCTATCTAGCCCTTTTATTGAGCTTTAAATTTACATTGTTCCATTTCTAAATTTTTTTGTGTTTTAAGTTGGCCTTTCATAGTCTTACTCATTTCTCCTTTTTGGCTTTTTTTCCCTTGAACACATTAAATAGTTATATTCTGATTTCAGTGATTTCAGTATGTCAAATCTTTATGGTCTGGCCGTGTTTGTTGATTTCACTGACTCTTGCTTGTGATGGCTTGTTTCCTCAAATGTTTTACTGGGATTCTCTCTTGAGACTTACATGAGACATGAGTTGAGAAGGTATTTCTCCACAGAGGATTTGCTTCTGCTCTTCCCCTGTGTCTGGAGCACTTCACCTTGACTTGGGTGCACTTTATATAAGATGCTCCCCTTGGGCGTTTTTGGACCATACAGATAGTATGTAATCAGGCATAAACATGGGTGTGGTCAGCCAGTAGTTTCAAAATCTCTGTAAGGGCTTCTTTTTTTTTCATCTCCACTTAGAACCAAGGTTGAGATGGATAGTTTTCCTTCCTTAACTGTTCTCTTCATTAACTGGAAGTTTGCTTCTAGCTCCTTGCTCTTTTGACCAGCAGTATGAACACCACCTGGCAATTGTTAAAATGCAGAATCTCAGGTCTCACTCAGACCTACTCAGAGTCTGCATGTTAACAAGATCCTCCAGGTGTTTTATATGCACATTAAAATCTTCAGGCTCAATTTCTCTTCTGAGTGCTGAGCCTCCCGGAGTCCTGGCCTCTTACAGGCTTTTTGTCTTGCTCAGGCTCAGAAGACTCCTCTCTCTGCTGTTCTGGAAGCTCTGTCCCCCAGCTCTAGGTGAGAAAGACACAGGATATGTAGTGGTTTAAGTGTTTGGTGACCTCACTGAACAGCTTTGTTAATCATTTTATACTTTCTTAAAGGCTCTTTGTCTGATTAAGAGATTTTTGTATATTTTTTCAACCTTTTTAGATGTTTTATAGCTATAGGTTTTTAGGCATCTCTAATTTATCAAATTGCCAGAAACAGAAGTTCTGAAAAGTTGTTTGTTGTTTTGATTTAACGGTCATTCAGTCTTTTTTCCTTTGCTTTTATTATTCTTTCAGAAGGTCATCTTCTTGCTTGTAATGTACTTATAAACAGAGTTCTAAATAGGCTTTGGATAAGGCCAAACCACCCCTTGAAGAAGAAGACATGGGCTTTATGGTGGTGATTTCCTTGTTTCTCAAAGGATGATTTTTGCTTTAAGTTTGTCAGGTATTGCCCATGCAGTTGAGGTAGTCAGAAGCTTGCTGAAGGCCAAAATGTAATACGAACATTAATACACAGCTTACTTTTGAGCACTGTGAGGGTTAGGGGCTGACCCCTGGCACCATAAAAAATCCACGTATAACTTTTGACTTCTCCAGAACTTAACTCCTGATAGCCTGCTATTGAATGGAAACCTTGTGTTAACATAAACAGATGATTAACACATATTTTGCATATTATATGTATTATATGTTGTATTCTTATAGTAAGGTAAGATAGAGAAAATAAATGTTATTAAGAAAATCATAAGGAAGAGAAAATACATTTACAGTACTGTACTGTAAAAAATCCATGTATAAGTGGGTCTGTGCAGTTCAGACCTGTGTTGTTCAAGGGTCAGCTATAATTACTGTTGCTTAGTACCTACTGGTTGATAGGCAGAATCCACAGGAGTGGCTCTGGGGCTCCCCTTCACCCGTTTGCTAATCCTTATGATCTGACAGACCCTTTTTACTTGCCTTCAGGCTACCTGTATGTGCCTCCCTGCCACCACCCTGCCAGGTGGCTGTGCACGGACTTGTTTCCAAAGCTATAAAGCGTGTGGGTGCCAAAGGGCACAGTGTCCCCTGTCTTATCTTGTATGGTACAGAAATGAGAGGAATTCTCCTCCTCCCCATTCTGTCACACTGTTACCTGTCTACAAAAATAGTTCTGTTTAGACCCCCATGGTCTCAGAGTCCTTTGAGAATACTGGTCTTTTAACTTTTCCTTGTAACCTTTTTTTCTACAATAAAGTTCCTTCAGAAGTACTCAAGGCCAGACCTATGGACTAGTTTCTCAAACTGCTCCTTTGCTGGTCCTCTCTTTCCCACAGTACACTCATATTCCTATTCTTTTCCAAAAACCCTTTTGCACAATGATTTCCGTGTCCTACCGTTAAGCTGAAGTTATTATTCCATTCAGAGTGTGCACATAGAGACATACACATTACTTCATTTCTCTGAGCTAGCCTGCAAGGTAAGTAGAAGTACCCCCATTCTGGGGGGGATACAGACTCAGTGAGATACAGTAACCTTCTTAGGGTCAGTCACATTGCTAAATGTGGCATTGGAACCCATGTGTGATTCTAGTGCCCTCAGTTTGCAAGTTTTTTTTTTTCACTTGTCCCTTGTATTACTGAAGGAAAGGGCCAAGCTGCTGTAACAATTCTGCTGATGAGACGGGGAGGACAACTCTGCTTTGACAGAGTTCTTGTCCATCCAAGTCCGTGTTCTTTTCATCCTGTTGCTCCACCATGTGTAGGGCAGTGCCGCTGATCAGCCCCATGTGCAAGAGTTGAGTTTTTAGTAGTTATTTACAACCTGTGTCTCTTCTGAATGGTTGGACATAGGTTCTGAATGGGCACTGTCTATATCATACAAGTTATTAAATATTTTACGTGTCACCTTGCCCTGGGTTTTGTCCACATCTGTGTGGTTAAAGCTGGGTCACTGCCATGTCTGTATTATAACCCAGGGAAATGGGAAAAGAAATCCAGGGCAATCAGCTTGTTGCAAAAGTGAGGCAACTTAAAATTTGCACACATCACTTCCAGTCACAACCCATTGGTCACCACTTGGACACGTGGCTGCTTGGTTGCAGGGGAGGCTGGGAAATGTCATCTCTAAGCAAGTGGCCTGGTGCTTAGCTTAATAGCAAATGAGGTGGGAGTGGGAATCCTAGAACCAAATGGAAGAAGGGAAAAGTGGCTACTTGAGACAGTTCCACCACACCTACCTAATGTCACTTTTTCAGAAAATCATTTTGTTCAAATTGAACAGACTGACTGTAAATTAAAGACCGTTAGACCTGCCCCATCGGATTATTGTGAGGTTTAATGAGGTGTCATGTTTTCAGCCCCTAGTACAGAGCCTGGCACATAGCAGACATCTAACACATATATATGCATCATTTAAGAGGCAAAATTTTTAGCTTCAGATTTTGTCTGCATTATAATTGGTAGTCGAGACTATTCTGTGCCATTTTTATGATTTTGTGTAAATGCTTAGGAATCTCTACAGATTTGGAACATACCAAGTTTAATTTTTACACTGAATATCATTTCAAGCTTTGAGTTAAGAGATTTTTTTTTTTGATTTGCAAAACAACCAAACCTAAAACTGAAAGTGCTAATTTATTGTATTGAGTCGAGTCTGAGTGCCTAGTAGCAGGTGGCTACTGGTATCTGTTAAATACTTGGCTGATTTTTAGGCTTCAAAGTGAGTTATTTGATGTACAATAAGACAGACTTGTTAGTAACCAGATGCAGAATCTAGACATTAGCTGGAATAGATGAAAAATCTGTCTACATTTAGAATCTAATTTGTAACTATTAAAATTCTTTCTGTATATCCATATTAATTATTACTGAATTATCATGACTTAGAAACAACCTTTCATGCTTTATAAATTTGTGATTTGTTGATGGATAGATAGTTGGGCATTAATGAACAGAAGTTTCTATTGTGGAGGTTGGCTAAACTTCCTAAATTGGGATATATTGATGTCACATTCTAAAGAATCCTATACTTCCGATAAGAAGTGACTAATTAACAAAAATCACGTGATTTGGACTGGAAATATCTTTCAATTGAGCATGGTTTATGTTCACCAAAATTTTCAATATATTTTTTAAACAGAATAAACCAAGATCAGATTGTGATATGAAATATATTAATATAATCAGAAACTCATATTTCTATATTTTCCATTTCTTAAATAAAAGTAAATGCTGCCTTATAAGACATTATTGCAGGTTTTTCTCTTTAGCCTTTTAGTATATGTTTAAATATTATTTTGAGGACATAAGAAAAAATACAATATGTCCTTAGATATTGAAGTGGGAGTTTGAAGGCAAAATGGTCTGTACTGTAAATCAATAAGTAAGTAAAAATTTTAAATAAGTAACTGTTTTTATTTTAATGTGTATAGAAATTTTTATCACAAATATGAAGTATTCTATATAAGTGAGCATGTAGATGGGAGAAAACTATATTAATTCTGTAGATCATTGTCATAGCTTTATTAAAACATTCAGTTATGTATTTATTTTTTAATCCTCGTGTTTTATGGGCTCTTGGATCTGTGGGAGAATGGTAGTTTGTATTCTAATTGGTCATTCAAACAAGAATTTTGCTACTCCCTGAGCTATATGCAGTAGATATGCAAATGAACAGCCTGATGTACTGTTTCAAAATTGTTAATACAGTTTGTATGTAATGTTAACTTTATGTAATCTTACAAACAAGTCTTACATAAATTCCAAGTTGGCTGTGGAGGGTGTGTATGTATAAAAACATATATATATATATATGTATGTACAAATAGTTATGTGCGTATATATTTGTGTGTGTGTGTATGGGTGTGTGTATATATATCATTTTTAAGTAATTTCTGTACCCAACATGGGGCTCGAACTCACAACCCTGAGATCGATAGTTGCAACTGACTGAGCCAGCCAGGCACCCCTATATATAATTTTTTAAAGCAGATGGTAGGGTGATGTAGTGTTAGCTAGAATATGAATAAAATACATGTAATAAAAGAAAATTCTAATTATATGTAATGCTACCAAGAGCTTGCAGATAATACTATGATGATAATATTAGATAAAATTTATTACAGTAGTAAAAGCTTTGCATGAATTGTCTTGTTTAATTTATTTAGTAACTCATGAGATAGGTACTGTTACCTTCAATTTAGAAGGGAGGAAACAGAGTTAGAAAGGGTAAGTCACTTGACAAAGGTCAAACAACTGTTAGTTTCCTACTACTGCTGTAACCAGTTGTCACAAACTTAGTGGGGAGAAGTCTGAAATGGATGAGAAATCTCTGGACTGAAATCAAAGTATTAGTGTTCTTCTGGATGCTCTAGGGGGAGAATCTCTTTCTTCCCTTTTCCAACTTCTAGAGGCTGCTGAAATTCCTTTCCTCCATCTTCAAAGCCAGCAGCATCCATTAAGGCTTTCTGATGCTGTCATCCCTCTGGTTCTCTCTTCCAATTGTCTCTTCCCCTTTTAAGGATTCTTGTGATTACAGTGGATCCACACAGATAGCCCAAGGTAATTGTTCTAGTCTAAGGTCATCTGATTAGCAACCTCAATTCAAACTGCTGCCTAAATTCTCCTTTACCATGGAGCCTGACCTCTTCACAGGTTCTGGGTATGAGGTTCCGATCATCTTTGGAAGCCATTATTCCGCTTACCACAGTAGTATAACTGGAACTGGTCCCCAACTCTGTCTGCCTCTAAAGCCATTCCTTTTAGGAAATTCAAAACCCAACTCTGAAGTCATTTTTTTCAGGGTGGTTTTGCACTTATTGTACATGATCTTAACAAGGGTTGGATAACTTTCATAGCAATTTAGGAAATTTAGCTTTCTCTATATAAACTATGGAGAAAGTGATCTCATTTATATGTTGTAAATACCCGATACATTTTTTAAATGTTTAATTGGCAGGAAAAGAGAATCACGATTTGGGATTCAAATATAAGAATACTAAATAACAATCTCTCGTAATTTAAATAATAAATATTGTCCTTAAAACTTTGTACTACTTAGTAACACTTAGTCATCTCATTTCTGGTATTTGGGGCATTGCTTCACACAGGAATCAGTATTTTATGTATAAGTTTTTACAATTTTGATAATGGTTAATTTATTTTAAAGCTCTTCTTTTTAAACTGATAATATTGGTTGCCTCTGAGGAAGGGAAGTGCCTGTCTGGAAGATAGAGGGAAGAATTTTCACTGTATGTCCTTTTGTACTTTTTGTACTTTGATAAATGTGAATGTATAAACTAAAAACAAATAAAACTGTTAACTTTTTAAAGTAGGATAAAAGAACAGCTCCTAATTTTTCCCTCTCTCCACTCTCCAGGATCACCCCTTTTATGTCATTCTGTGAGGAAAATGAGTTCTCAAGGAGAAAAATCCAAACCCATCAAACAATCTCTTAAGAAGCCAAAGTTACCAGAAGGTCGTTTTGATGCACCCGAAGATTCTAATTTAGAGAAAGAACCACTGACAAGTGAGTGTGGGCATACCTCACAGATATTACAGGTTTGGTTCCAGACCGCTGCAGTAAAACAAATACGGCGGTAAAGTAAGTCAAATAACTGTTTTTGGCTTCCTAGTATGTATAAAAGTTACGTTTACACTATACTGCAGACTGTAAAGTGTGCAATAGCACTGTGTCTAAAAAAACAATGTATACATACCTTAATTTAAAATACTTTATTGCTAAAAAATACTAACCATCATCTGAGCTTTCAGTGAGTCATAATGTTTTTCTGATGGAGGGACTTACCTCAGTGTTAATGGCTGCTGACTGATCAGGGTGGTGCTTGCTATAACAATTTCTCAAAATAGGACAACAGTGAAGTTCGCCACATTGATTTATTCCTTTCATGAAAGACTTCTCTGTAGCATGAGATGCTGTTTGGTAGCATTTTACCCACAGTAGAACTTCTTTCAAAATTGGGGTCAGTCCTCTCAAACCTTGCCACTTCTTTGTCAACTAAGTTTGTGTAATAGTCTGTACCCTTTGTTGTCATTTGAACAGTCTTCACAGTATCTTCAACAGGAGTAGATTCCATCTCATAAAACCACTCTTTGCTCATCCATAAGAAGCAAGTGCTTATCTGTTGAAGTTCTACCAAGAGAATGCAGTAATTCAGTCACATCTTCAGGCTCCACTTCTAGTTCTAGTTCTCTTGCTATGTCCACATCTGCAGTTAACTTCCTCCACTGAAGTCATGAACTCCTCAAAGTCATCCCTGAGGGTTAGAATCAACTTCTTCCAAATTCCTTTTAATGTTGATATTCTGACCTCTTCCCATGAATCACACATGTTCTTCATGGCGTCAAAATGGTGAATCCTTTCCAGAAGGTTTTCAATTTACTTTGTCTGAATCATCAGAGGAATCATTACCTATGGCAGCTACAGCCTTACAAAATGTATTTCTTAAATAATAAGACTTGAAATTCGAATGACTCCTTGATCCACGGGCTGCAGAATGGATGTTGTGTTAGCAGGCATGAAAACATTAACCTCATTGAACATTTCCATCAGAGCTCTTGGGGGACCAGGTGCATTGTCAGTGAGCAGTCATATTTTGAAGGGAATCTTTTTTTCTGAGCAGTAGGTCTCATCAGTGGGCTTAAAATACTCAGTAAACCATGCTGTGAACAGATGTGCTGTCATCCAGGCTTTGTTGTTCCATTTATGGAGCACAGGCAGGGTAGATTTAGGATAATTCTTTTTTTTTTTTTTTTTTTAAAGATTTTATTTATTTTGACAGAGAGAGAGACAGCGAGAGAGGGAACACAAGCAGGGGGAGTGGGAGAGGGAGAAGCAGGCTTCCCACCGAGGAGGGAGCCCAGTGCAGGGCTCGATCCCAGGACCCCGGGATCATGACCCGAGCCTAAGGCAGATACTCAACCACTGAGCCACCCAGGCGCCCTAGGATAATTCTTAAGTGTCCTAGGATTTAGGGAATGGTAAATGAACACTGGCTTCAACTTAAAGTCACCAGCTGCATTAGCCCCTAATAGGAGAGTGAGCCTGTTCTTTGAAGCACTGTAGCCAGGCATTGACTTCTACTCCCAGCTATGAAAGTCCTTTTTCCAATAGAAGGCTGTTCCATCCACATCGAAAAACCTGTTGTTCAATGTAGTCACCTTCATTACTTATCTCAGCTAGATCTGGATAACTTGCTGCAGCTTCTACAGTAGCACCTGCTGCTTCACCTTGTGCTCTTTGATGTTATGGAGATGTCTTCTTTCTCCATATCAGCAATAAGGCTGTTTGCTTTCTTATCGTTTGTGCGTTCACTGAAGTAGCACTTTTCATTTCCTTCAAGAACTTTTCCTTTGGGGCGCCTGGGTGGCTCAGTTGGTTAAGCGACTGCCTTCGGCTCAGGTCATGATCCTGAAGTCCCAGGATCGAGTCCCGCATCGGGCTTCCTGCTCGGCGGGGAATCTGCTTCTCCCTCCGCCCCTCCCCCCTCTCATGTGCTCTCTCTCATTCTCTCTCTCTCAAATAAATAAATAAAATCTTTAAAAAAAAAAAAAAAAGAACTTTTCCTTTGCCTGCACAATTTGGCTAACTGGTTGTTGTAAGAGGCCTAGCTTTGGCCTATCTCGGCTTTCAGCGTGCCTTCCACATTAAGCTTAATCATGTCTAGCTTTTAGATTTAAAGTGAGAGACATGTGACTCTTCCTTTCACTTGAACACTTAGAGGCCATTGTAGGGATATTAATTGGCCTAATTTCAGTATTGTTTTGTCCCAGGGAGTAGAGAGGTTCAAAGAGGGGGAAAGACAAGGGAACGACTCTTTAGTGGAGCAGTCTGAGCACATGCAACATTTATCAGTTAACTGTTTCATATGTTTGTTTCCTAATGCTCCAAAACAATTACAGTAGTAATATCAAAGATCACTGATCACAGAGCACCATAATAAATGTAATAATAATGAAAAAGTTTGAAATATTGTGAGAATTACCAAAATATGACACAGAAACACAAAGTGAGCAAATGCTATTTGGAAAAATGGCACCAATAGACTTGCTCATAATAGGGATGCCACAATTTGTAAAAAAAAAAAAAAAATGCAGTATCTGTGAAGCATAAAATAAAGCTTCTCTTAATTTTTGAAGTGTCAAAGAAAGTATTTTAGTTATTGAGAAAAAAGAATGAAAGAAACGTTATTGTTTATAATTCTTTATCAACAATAATAAAGCATATTGCACAATGAATAAACTACCACACTGACCGTCACTTTGGGTAGGTTTAGAAAAAATAATTTCCAAACGCCTCACAGTGATTGACTGTGTTTGTTTTATTTACTATACCCCATTATTCACATGACAAAGTATATGATTTGAGATCTGTTTTGATGCAAATAACTTGAAAACCACTTGAGCAGACTTAAACAAAAGGTAGTTCAGGTTGTTACTGGGCTACAAGGTACACAGGTGTGGTACCACAGGGCAATGATGCTTCTGGGCCTTGGAAAAAAATGGACCTTGGGAGTAAACACTGTATGGAAACCAGGATATTCTTCCTCCTCCTCTTGTCCCTGGTCTTCTCTTCATTGTTTTCTGTCATCAGACTCCCTTCTAAGTCCACTGGGTGGAAGGAACTGCTCCTTGCTGCTACTCAGGTCAATAGAGCAACTAGACTGAAAATACAATTGTTTAGTTCTAATTCCAAATTTTTTTTTTTTTAAGATTTATTATTTATATGAGAGAGTGAGAGCACACTGGGTGGGGGTGAGGGAGAGGAAGTGAATCTTGAACAAATTCCCTGCTGAGTGTGGAGCCTGAGGCGGGGCTACATCCCAGGACCCTGAGATCACAACCTGAGCCAAAACCAAGAGTTGGTCACTCAACCAACTGAGCCACCCAGACGCCCCTAATTCCAAATTTCCTATGAAGATAGCTCATTGGCCAAGCTTAGAGCAGGTGTCTATAGCTAAATCAATCTGAGTGGCCAGTGGGGTGGGTCACAGGTGAAGGTGGTTATTCTCACCATAGCCATGTGGTTGGAGAAAGAGAAGGGGAAGTTTGGAGAAGGAGGTTTTTTGAGGGTGGTGGGATAATAGACTAAACATTGTTTTGTATTTAGTACATACAAAATTTGGTTCATGTCTTAAAGCTCTGTTTGTTGAAGTGCTACTTTTTTTCATTCTATACTCTTTTGTACCTTTGAATTGTGGAACATGTGCAAGTATTAGCTATTCAAAAAATATGATTTTAGATAGCGTAAATGTAAACATACCAGTCTGAAATTGTGGCATGCCTCCCCTGCTTGTCTCCTGAGAGTTAACCCATCTATGTAGTGAAGCATCCTAGGCAAGAAGATACCAACAGAGGATACAGGGACCTGTATCTGGAGCTCTTTAGAATATAAAAGCTTTTCTTTTTGTTCATTCAGTTAAATATTTCAGTTTATAGCACTTTATTAAGCCCAGTCTAATAACCAGATCAGTCAGTCAGCCAAAATGATGGAGACTTTTAAAAAGCATAATCTAAAGGTAAAATTCTTCTTTCGTAGTTTTAGCCAAGCACAAAAATCTAAGAGGAAATTTTTCATTAAAACATCATACACAAAAGTAGCAATCCCAGAAGTAAACCCTCACATATATGCTCAATTGGCTTTTGAGAAGGTTGCCAAGATCATTCAGTGGTGGAAAAGACAGTTTTTTCTATACGTGGTGCTGGGAAAACTGGATATCCACATGCAAAGAATGAAATTGGACCCTTACACCATATATAAAAATTAACTCTAAATATGTCAAAAACCTAAAATTAAGAGATAAAACTATAAAATTCTTAGATGAAAACACTGGGAAAAATCTTCATGATTGATTTTGACAGCCGTTTTACGGTTATGACACCAAAAGCATAGCAAACACAAAAGTATATAAATTGGACATTATCAAAATTAATAAATTTTGGACATCGGACATTATCAAGAAAGCAAAAAGAAAACCTACGGAATGGTGGAAAATATTTGTAGATCATATATCTGACAAAGAATATCAAGAGTATGTAGAAAACTCCTACAACCCCACAAAAACAACTCAATTCAAAAATGGACAAATGACTTGAATATACATTTCTCCAAAGATACACAAATGACTAACAAGCACTTGAGAAGGTGCTTAACATCACATTCCTTACAAATCAAAACCACAGTGAGACACCACTTCACACCAACTAGGATGGCTACAATTTAAGAAAAACTGGAAAATAAGTGGTGGCAACAATGTGGAGAAATTGGGACCATCCTGTGTTTCTGGTGGGAATGTAAAATGATGCAACTACTCTGGAAAACAGTTTGGCAGTTTCTCAAAAAAGTCAGATATAGAACCCAGCAATTCTACTCCTAGGTATATATCCAAAAAAATTGAAAGCAGGGACTTGAGCATATATCTGTATACCTGTGTTCATAGCAGCTTTATTCACAGTAGCCAAAAGAAACAACTCAGATGTCCATCAATAGATAAATGGATAAACAAAATGTGGTGTGTGGAATACTACTCAGTCATAAAAAGGAATGGCATTTTGGTTGTGCTCAAATGTAGATGGACCTTGAAAACATTATGCTTAGTGAAATAAGCTAGACACAGAGGGACAAATATGATTCCACTTAAATTATGTACCTAGAGTAGGCAAATTCATAGAGACAAGGTAGAATAAAGGTTATCAAAGTCTTGAGGGGGCAGGGAAAAGGAAAGTTTTTGTTTAATGGGTACAGAGTTTATATTGAGGATGATGAAAAACTTTGGGGTATAGATAGTGTAATGGTTACAGACCACTGAGAATGTAGTTAATGCCACTGAATTGTATACTTACAAATGGTTAAAATGATAAATATTACATATATTTAATAAAAGAAAAAAGTACATTTCAAAAGGTAATCATCTGTTTGACACAATGCTAGGTATTCATCATCACTTTTGAATCACTGAAATTTATGTTGAACATACCATCTCTTAGAAGCTGGTCTAGTAAACATCACCAAACCCAGCAAATGCTTTTCAATCCTCATTTTATAGGAACTATCTGTAAGCTTCGGTGTTCTTAACCATTGCTTCTGGAAATCTCCTGTCTTGGTTTTGGTTATGCTTTGTCCAGTTCCTCATCCTATTCCTTGAACCATTTATTCCTGAACTGTTTTTTTTAAGCTCTTCTACCTCTGCCCAAAAGCAGAGGTTCAGAAATCTGGGGATAGTTCTTCACTCCTGTTTCTTCCTGTGTCCTGGCTCCTAGTCTTGTTGATACCACCTCCTTAACATTTGTCAACTCATCTCCTCTTATCCATCCTACCAATAAAGCCCAAATTCAAGCATCTATGGTTCTGTTGGTCTGTCTTCCTTGTTTCCTTCCTTCTAGGCTTGTCTCCCTGCCTCTGGTACATATGTCATTCTAAGAAAAGTGTATAGGTTGTCCCTTTGCAGAGAGTAGACTTCATTATTAAGATAATAAAGGAAGGGCGCCTGGGTGGCTCAGTTGGTTAAGCGACTGCCTTCGGCTCAGGTCATGATCCTGGAGTCCCTGGATCGAGTCTCGCATCGGGCTCACTGCTCGGCAGGGAGTCTACTTCTCCCTCTGACCCTAACCCCTCTCATGTGCTCTCTCTCATTCTCTCTCTCTCAAATAAATAAATAAAATCTTTAAAAAAAAAAAGATAATAAAGGAAGATTGTTTGCAGCTGAGCACTCTGTTTGATGCAAGGATGAATAAGGAAAATGAGATACAAAAATAACTGAAGGGGCACCTGGGTGGCTCAGTCGGTTAAGCGTCTGCCTTCGGCTCAGGTCATCATCCCAGGGTCCTGGGATCAAGCCCCGCGTCGGGCTCCCTGCTCAGCAGGGAGTCTGCTTCTCCCTCTCCCTCTACCCTGCCACTCCCCCTGTTTGTGAGCACTCTCTTTCTCTCTGTCAAATAAATAAATAAAATTAAAAAAACAAAACAAAACTGTGAATAGGATGTTGTGTGATAACTGGCATAAGAGATACGCAAAAAAAGTTCAGAAGAAAAATAGAGAAAAGAGATAACATTTGAGCTGGGGTTTAAAGACACAATAAAATCATAAGTAGTTAAGGAATGGTGGGGAGAGGGGCGCCTGGGTGGCTCAGTTGTTAAGCGTCTGCCTTTGGCTCAGGTCATGATCCTGACCCGCGTCAGGCTCACTGCTCTGCAGGAGGCCTGCTTCTCGCTCTCCTGCTCCCCCTGCTTGTGTTCCCTCTCTAGCTGTCTCTGTCAAATAAATAAATAAATCTTTAAAAAAAAAAAGAAAAGGCATGGTGGGAAGATGTTTCAAAAAAGAGAAAGGTGTGGTCAGAGAGAAAGAGGCTAGGGAACATGATACCTGTGAGACATGGCCAATGGGCCTGTTTGGCTGCAGCAGAGTGTACATAGTGCATTAATAGAATCTAAAGCCAGAGAGGTAGATATGGCTCAAATCTGGGAGGGCCTGAAGGATCAGATTATAGCATATGGGCTTTCTGCAGTAGACAGTGAGGAAAGCTCTGAATGCTTTTGAATGGAGATTATTTTAATCAGCTTTACTATAGTATAATCTGCATATAATAAAATTCACCCATTTTAAGTAAACAGTTCGATTAATTTTAACAATGTTTATAGTCATGTAACCAACACAAAGTATACAACAGTTCCATCCCACAAGGAGCCCCTAGTGCCTCTATAATTAGTCTCATTTCCCCAACCCCTAGCAACGATGAATCTGTTCTCTGTCACTATAATTTTGCCTTTCCTAGGATTTTATATAAATGAAATCATACAGTACATAGTCTTTTGTGTCTGGTGTCTGGCTTCTTTCACTTAATGTAATGTGGAGGAGAGATTCTGTTTTAGAAAGATTAATTCATCCTTCTGTGCAGATTAGGCTGAAATCATGAGAGTCAGAAAACAGAAGAGTTAGAAAACTCTTACATTATTAGTCTAGAATGTGACTCAGCATAACTCAGGGTGGCACTAGCGTGAGTAAAAAGTTTCAGAAAACTGCAGGTTATAATGAGGGTGAGAATTAGGTTAAAGAAACATGAGGGAAAAGCCTCCATAGAAGGTTGCAGTCAGAAAGAAGAAAGCTCAAGAGTGTGGGACTTAGAGAAGGAATATATTCAGGAGATAATGAAATCGAAGCAGATGGCACAAGTGGATGTGAAGACCACTAGGAAAGAGGACCAAGGTCCTCTGTGTCCTCGGTATGTGAGGTTACTAATGTGGATATTCATAGGAAGGATAATGGGGAGAGGTGAAGCTGTGAACCAAGTACTGATTCTATCCAAGAAGATAGAAGAGTCTTTAATATTACCAGACTGGAGAAAAGCATTGGACAAATGAATGGTGTGGAATTCAAAAGAGGTAAGGCTATAGAGATTTGGTGGGAGAATGAGAAGCTGGAAGTAGGAGTGAGGCACAGGGATGTCTTGACCTTTTCTTCCCTAGTGCTGTGGACTGAATTGTGTCTCCCTGAAATCCGTATTTGAAGCCCTAACCCCCAAAGTGGTGGTATTTGGAGATGGGGCCTTTGAGAGATAATTAGGTTTAAATGAGGTCATGAGACTGGGGCCCCATGTTGGAATTAGTGCCTTCATTAAGTGACACTAGAGAGCTAGCTAATCTTTCTCTCCCTGCCTTGTAAGGACACAGTGAGAAGGGGCCATCTGCAAGCCAGGAAGAGAGTCTTCACCAGAACCCAGCCATGCTGGCATCCTGATCTCAGACTCGTAGCCTCTAGAAGTGTAAGAAAGTTAATTTCTATTGTTGAAGCCACTCAGTCTGTGGTAGTTTGTTATGGCGGCCCAAGTTGACTAAGACACTCAGTGAGTCCCAGAAATAGGGGAGACAGAAGAGCTTCCCTTAGAGGCTTTCAGAGGAAGTCCAAGGATGGAGTTCTTTAGAAAACAGAATGGTAAGTGGGGAAGAGTTTATTCACAGTAGAGAAAGAATTTTAAAAATAGATAAATATTTGAAATTTTTCAAGGTAAATTCTCTATTTTCTTTTTCCTAGGGAGGGACTACATGATTTTGGTGATGTTCATTTAGCTTTCTAAAGAGACACAGCTTAAGAATTGGGGTTCCTTCTAATAGCTGATTCCTCTCCTGCTCTTCCCATATACAGAGCAGTAGTTTATGGGCTAAGTATAAGACTGCAACCAGAATGTCTGAATTCAAACTCAGTTTTACCACAGTAGTAGCGGTGTAACCAGGAGCGCCTTTGTGCCTCATTTTCCTCATCTATAACATGGAGACAATAGCTGTTCTTGTCCCATAGGATTATCATGAGGACAAAACGAGTTACTATGAATAAAGCGCTCAAAAGTGGGCCTGACTCAAGATGGATGGTCTTATTATGAACACACAGTATTAATAGTAACATCTGTTGTGTCCATAAATGGCAGTATCAGCTAACCATTTACTGAAGCCAAAACCCTATGATGAAGGGCAAGAGTCCTCCTAGCTAAAATTAATTGATCATTCTTATGTACCCAGCACTGAGCTAGATCCTTTACATGCATTTCTTCGTTTAATTCTCAACAGACTAAATCAGGTACGATTGTTGTACCCATTTTACTGATAAGAAAACTGAGAAATTGAGCCAAAGTAATCTTGTTTCAAGATCTTTCAAACCTTATGGATTTGTACTCTGTATTCCCTGCATTCCTTTCCTTCTCTTACAATCCATCAGCATATATGCAGCTAACTCCCACATTGGGGCCTGAGAACATTCCAAGAATTCTAAGTAATTAATGTAGGTAATAAAGTTCATTGAATATGACAATTGTATCCTGACGTGATTTCTCAAACTTGGGAAAAAGAACCACATTTACAGTTCATTTAAAAGGCTGCGTAGTAATAACCTAGTCAGTGGTATCTACTGTAACCCTGTCTTCAGAATTGGCCATAATGCCTCTCTTGTCTCTATTGACTACTGTTTTTGCATCTTCTTTCTTTAGAATTTCCAGATGATATTAATCCTGTTACCAAAGAAAAAGGTGGACCTAGAGGCCCAGAACCTACCCGATACGGAGATTGGGAACGAAAAGGACGCTGTATTGATTTTTAAGACACATATTATTAACTTCAATATCTTTTTCTGAATATGTACATCTGAATTTATTTCCAGTTTTTTCTTTCTGTATATCCTTTAAGTCATTTAATTTCTGTAATGTGTTTAAAAACATAAATAATGCCTTGAAAGAAAATATGCTGCTATAAATTAAGGGGAAATAGTTGTACATTAGCACATTAATTTAATTTAAATATATTGGAGTATATAAATGGTGATTAGAGCTGCAAACTCATTTCATCACATTTCAGTTTATGTTAATCAGCTGCTTATAAAATGCAAATGTAAATAAAACAAGTTTTAATGATTTTTATTGCTGCATGCTAGGTAATAGTGACTTTTTAAATGTGAGTTAAGTAACACATTATAGTTTGATAAGGCCACAGTAACAACAGAAAATCTAACTCCAGAGCCAGTTTACTTGGGTTCAAATCCTGGCTCTGCTACTTATTAGCCACGTGATCTTGGATAAGTTATTTAACTTCTCTACATCTCAGTTATCTTCATGCGTAAATTGGAGTTAATGCTGGTTTTACCCTATCAGGTAGTGAGAAGATATTTAAGTGAGTAAGTACGTGTAAACTACTTGGAACAGTGCATAGCACATGGCTCTCAGTGTAAGTGTTAGCTATCCTTCGATCTTAAATGTATTTTTCCAAGGCTCTAGGCTTTCTGTGGAGAAATATTAAGAAACCAAGTTTGAAATACTTGAACTGAAATTGTTTTATATGAATATGATGTTAAAAAATCATTAGTTGGAAAATTAGTGATTTTTTGCATGGATTAACTGAGCTGAAATATATACTAGATTGTTAAACATGAAATTTAGATACAGAGGGTCAATATGAGGAAAACAGGGGATGAAATGGGCCAGCTTAGTTTTGATGACTCAGAAGCTCTTATATTGTGGCCTTTGGATAACTGGGTCAGGAAAAGGCATGTCCAGTTTACAGATGTGGAATGAAGGAAGAATGGAGACTGCTGGGCTCGCCTAAGGCATCCTATGCTGTCCTCTGGCCTTACTCAGTCCCAGAGATTGGACCTTCAGCCCCCAGGCTACACTTAAATTACTTAGGAAGAAAGGGTTTGCAGGGTCTGTAGAAGACAATGCAGGGAGCTGATAATGCTGTGATATGACTTACAAGAGCAATATTATTTGAGAAGATTATAGGAGATTTATACAAGAGAATAAACTTTCTTAAAAGTGTATTCTCCTCAGAAACTAAGTAGTGTAGTAATTGGGCCTTGTCATTCAGTCTTGGTATTGGTTCTCTCTCAGTCAACATTTGTTCTTCTAATGGCCGTTACTGTGTATGCCATTGAGTAATAACCACATTCCTTTAAAAATATTCTGTAGGGGGGCGCCTGGGTGGCTCAGTCGTTAAGCGTCTGCCTTCGGCTCAGGTCATGATCCCAGGGTCCTGGGATCGAGCCCCACGTCGGGCTCCCTGC